GGGGGGGGGGGGGGGGGGGGGGGGGGGGGGGGGGGGGGGGGGGGGGGGGGGGGGGGGGAGAGGGGAGAGAAGAGGGGTGAAAAGCATGGGCACAGGAGAGGTGGGGGCGAGGGAGGGGTTGATTCACAAAGTATTGTAATTTTTTCAAGTTGTATATTCTACAACAACTTTTCCGTTTTGAAAAATTTTCAGTCAAAACGATGCTGTAACTTTTCTTACTGTCTGACTGTTTTTCAAGCGCGCAATAAAGAATTTATACGAAAATCAGCAAAAATCAGATCACTGAGACTTTTGATGGGGGATGTTCCCCACAAATGCTAGGCACAACCAGGCCAAGCCTTTCATCCCTGAGCTGCAAACGTTCGGTCAGTGCAATATCGTTTGTTCGATGTATGATGTATTCATCGCTTTGAAGATCGCTCGGGTTTACTTTTTCGCGGAAAATCTCTTCTGCAATCCAGAAAAATGAATAAAAGAAATTCATCCATAAAACAATAAATACAAATTTCATCCATAAAAGCAATAAATACAAATTTTATGCAAAAATTTTTTCTACATTGTCAAAATTTGCATTTCTGTGAAACATAAAACAACAATACATATTATCAAACATCAAGGAGCAGTAAGAATCGAGTAAACTTCACCGTGATACTTCTCTTTTCTTTTGAAATATCCCCAAAAATTTGCCTTTCGAGAATTGCTTCGCTGAAAATGTAAAAAATACATGTAAGAATACTGGAAAATTGGATCATCTGATGATAAAGGAAGCGAAAAAAGGCACGAAAAATCGCCAAAAAATTTTAAAAAAACACCTAATTTTTCTCCAAAAATGACTTTATATGTACGAAAGAATTTCAAAAAAAAAAAAGTTCTAAGAACAATGACGGGTTCAATTTTGGTTTATTTGTTATTAAACTGTGCGTAAGGCCAATTTTGAGCATTTAGCGATACAAATTAGGTACAAAATATGGCAAAAAAGTAACCTTCTTCACAGCCAAGTAAGTAAGCCATGTTCTGTAAATTTTTTACATGCTCCATAAGTTGATCGGCACTGAGTTGTCCAAGTTCTACAAGCAAAACATACTAAAAAAGGGCAAAGCTACAAAATAACCTTACTTTACCAAGTTCCAAACACTTTTCCTTATTAGTTCTGATCTCAAATATTCCCAGTATCTTGTCAGGATAGAGGAGCGGAACGAGGGTGCTAGTCAGGAGTTCGAGACGATAAATGGTATGATCTCGAAGTACCGGTGTTTATGACGGAGTAATGATGCTCAACACCCACTTAAATACATTTCGAAATCAATAAAGCCTTGCCAAGTGCTTTTGTCGGGACAACTATTGTGGCTAAAAATCTGTTCAGGAGACGAAGTGAACGCCAGAATCGCCAAAGATTGGTCACTAGGCTTTGCGGCCCTAAAATTAACTTGCTTCACTAGTGGCGTGCTTTGTGTGTGGAGAACATTTAGTTATATATATATATATTTGTTTATTTATTTGTTTGTTTATTTATTTGTTTATTTATTTACTTATTTGTTTGTTTATTTATTTATAATTGCATTAACTAAGCTAACACAACGTAAAGTAAGAAAAGACAATATAAAAAGGGTGGCGAGGTTCTGGTGAGACGAAACTCTCCAGACCAGGGATAAGTCAAAAGGAGTAGCACTGGAATAGTTCTGGAACCCGGGGATGGGGAGGAGTGCTTATATATCCCAGCGGTCAGAGATTACTAAGGTTGCAAAACTTTGATGGGGGTAGAGTGTCAAAGGTTGAACCGGAGATCGGGGTATTGCATCGCAGTGACGCAATTGTTCCTAACGCCATTTCTAACAAAAAGCCATAAATCATTATTTGATATGAAAAGACAAAGCATGCTTTGGTTGAAGAAACTGGAGGAATGTTTTGCAACCTTAGTAATCTCTGATCCTTGGGGCATAAAAGCACTCCTCTCCATCCCCGGGATCCAGAACTATTCCAGTGCTACTCCTTTCGACTTATCCCTAGTCGAAGGGCATATTTGCTGCAGCTGCTGCAGAACCCCGTTACAAATCGCCAGTAGATCCCGGTATTCAGCCGAGTACCATCAAACAACAAACCCTTGCAGAAAGTCTTAAAAAAGTAGGGTGGATTTGTGTGCTTACCGTTAACGAGCCGAACATCCTGCGGGTCCAGGTCGGTTCGAAAACGCGTTGGCATAGAACTACCAACAACAGTCTGAAAAACGATACCATATAATTTTTGAAGAGAAAAAAAAAAGAAAAATATGAATTGCGAAAAAAATCGAAAAAAAGGGAATATATAATTTCTGAAGAGGAAAGAAAGAAAAAACACGAACAGAGAAAATATAGTGCCGGCTTAATGAAGTAAATTTTCAATAAAATTTTGAAGAAATGGCCACCGCGTACCATAACAGGATAATGCAAAAATAAATGCACTAACTTACATTGTCTTTAAAAAAGGGGCTATAATGCGGAACTGTAAGAAA